CAATTCGGAATATTTATTGTTGATCAATTTTTTTGCATTAGCCACGTCGATCATTACATATTTGGAAATTCTAAATTTGAAAAGAACCCTGACTGTATTACTACTACAAAGAAAATTCTCCTTTATACAAATGTAAATGATCATCATATTAATTATACAGCTTTATGTAGCAAAATTGGAAAATTTCGGGTGAAGATCATACCTTAATAGTTAACAATATACAGAAGAGGTAGCAAAATTTAGTAGTAGGGTCAAGATTTTTTAAAATATAGAAAGTTACTAATATTCAAAAGTTGAAAATGCCACTAGTGTTCCATGTCACAATCCAAAAAAGGAAACAAAATGGTTGTAAAGATGGTAGCAACCATCATCAAAGTTGCAGTCAGTATCCTTAACATAGATCATGGGAAAGGTAATAAGTTGGTAAAAATATCACTAAACTTGGACAACTACAATGCTTGGCTGTTCTGCTAAAAGGGTATAAATAATTATCAACAGGTCAATGTAATATATCTATTTTGTAATGACAAATTGTAATAACAAATGGTCATATATCTGAATAAATTATATTTGTTGTTATATTAAATGTATTCTACCATTAACTGATGATTTTCTGTTGGAATTTGTCACATATAAGGTTATCTATCCTATTCCACCATGGCCAGAGGAAATAGGATAAGCCTACTAGAAAATGTCTGTATTAAGTGAAAGAATGATAATTCATAAACAATAAACAGGTAATTACCATTACTGTTTGGCATTTTCTTTTTTATACAATAAATTGATTTGTCAAACACCAATTAAACTTACCCTTTTTAGAATCATCATCATCAAAAACACAACATTCCTCATAAATCAATGCCATTCGAGCTCTTCGTTTGTGAAGTTGTAGGCCATCCTTGGTTCAAAGTCAATCAAAGAAATTAGATGACACCTAAAACTTCCTGCACACAAAGGCAATTTTTTGCTTATGCGTTTTTTCTCTAAAAAATTATTTTTTTTTTTTTTTCCGATGTCATCGTAATGTTATTTTTTATTGGTTATTTCAAATAAATTTACATAGTAAAATAAA